GCCTGTTTGCGTCATTCAGCCACGCGGAGCGCGGCCCCATCCGTGCTGGCGGCGCATGGTCGCGGCTGCCGCGTGCGCGTCAAGGGTGACACGAGGGTAGCATCGCAGCACAGCGCGATGCCCGTGCGTGTCTCCCCGTAAACCAGCATGTCCAGCCGCCTGTGGAGCCGAGGTGTGTCTCAACCATTGTTGGGGCACCACTTGTCCTTCGGGTCCGACTGCTTCCCGGGCGACCCGGACCCAGGTCCTTTCGACCACCTTGGCCCGGCGAGCCAGCAACCCGGAGCGCGGGCATGCCAGCGCGTGGTCGCCAAGCGCGTCCATGTGCCCCCACATCCCAACAAGGCACCGGACCAGCAGCAAGCTGTAACGGCAGCCGCAACCTGCGGCGGAGGGCTACCTGCATAGTCTGCGGCGGCAATGTCGTCATTGGAATCGCGGACAGCGAAGCGCCGGCATGGGGACCAGATCGGGACCGCAACAGTGCTCGACGAGCAGGCGGCAATGACAGCAGCAGATGGCAGCCCTGGCCCCCATGACTGGCAAGGCGTCTATAGTCCCCGCTCTCGGTCGGTTCGGCTTTGTCACGAGAACACCCGCTCGAAGACGGGGACCGGACGCCACCCAACCCGGCTAGCGATGACGATGAATGCAGCTGCGTTTGTTTGGAGCGCCTGCAGTCGGCAGCTCCGGCGGACCAGCTTCCCGTCCTGTTCCCCACCTGCCGCCGGCACCGCGTGCATCTATATGCATCTGGGCTGCCTGGCGCAGGATCCGACGACCTTTTGTGTCCACTGTGCCACCATAGCCGCTGCCCCGACTGCACTGTCACAAGTTGGTCAGTGACGGACGACACCACGTTGCGCACGCTTTGCCATGCTTTGCCTACGCCATGGCGTGCACATCTCTGAGCGCATTGCCGGCGAGCCTACGGTGCGCGAGGCTGTATAGGCTGTCCCTGACTACGCGCTCCGCACGTTCACCTCCAACGATGCACCTGAACCCCGACCGCCGCCGGGTGTGTCCCTTCTGTGTTGCCACCGGGTCGCCGCAGTTGGCGGCACGGCCGGTGTCGACTTCGTGCACCTCCCGGACCGCGAGATGCAGTGGGCGCACGTCCCCATCCGGCACGGCGCAGGCATAGCTGTGTGGCGCCCCGGCTGGCTTTGCCCAGGCTGCGCGCAAGAAGTTGGTTTGGAGTGTTTTTCTATCCCGGCCGAGGCCGAGCTCTTCGGCGGCCGCGCTTTCGCCGCACGCCTTGACCGCGCCTCTGACGCTTTCCGTCGGGCACCCCCACCTGAGCCCCCCGCATGCCGCGCCTCCACACCCTCCACCCGCAGAGCGCTCGGAAAGCCACGACTCCCACACCCACGGTGGGGATGTCCCGAACCACCTGCGGGCCCCGACGGCCGCTAGCGACGACGAGCTTCTTGCGGCCGTTGCGCAGCGAGCGCGCGCTGTCGGGCCGGCCGAGGCACTGGACGGGGCAGGCGCGGGCGCGGCGCGGACGCCATACTTCCGCTGCTCCGCCCGATCCTGACGTTGACCCTGGCCGCCCTGCGACCGCGTCAAGCCATCCTGCGGCCTCGAGCGGCTCACGTCGTGCGCAAGCCACCGCAGCTGCCGAAGCCGGTCCGGGGCTTGGTCTCGCAACCTTTAATGCGGTTGACCTGCAGCCCACTTGCCGTCATCGCGTCCTCACGCTGCGGACTGCACCCGCGCGCGTCCGCGGGAGCTTACGCACTGCTTTGCGCACGGGGCTCCGGCTCACTGTGCATCCGCCTGCCCTGATGATGAGGTGCGCGGCCGGGAGCTTGTCTGCCTCGCACCCCGGATGCTGCTCCACCGCTCGCCGGGCGAAACCCGAGTTCCTATTGCAAAGTTGGAAAGGCACTGCGACCTCTTCCGAGCTGGTCGGCGGGCCGACCTGCTGCAGGAGGCCTGGCGAGGCCGCGCGGGCGCGCCGCGCCACAGCCCTTTCCCACCTGGGCGAACAGTCCGCCGCCGCACGCGCCTTGACAGCAGAACCGCTCGCCACAGGAGGTCCTGACACTTTCGCTGAGCTTCGCGACCCGCAGCGGCGACCGCAGGAACCTTACGCACCCGTGCCGCCAGCCGCGCTCCGGCACGCGCCTGATCAAGCATGCCCCCTCCCCCAGGAAGCTTTCCTCGACAATCTGCGTCGTGATCGGCGTGCTCGTCGGGGCTCTGCGGCCGGCCCATCCGGTGCCACCGCGGAACACATCCGCGTTCTCCTTGATGATGAAAAGACGCCCGCTTGCTGCATGGCGCCGCCCTCCGGCTAGCCAATGCGGAAGTCCCCCCAGCTGTGCTCGACGGCATCCGTGTTGCGCGGCTCGTTGCACTTCCAAACCGAACGGCCGGGTCCGTGCAGGCGTCTCGTCGGCCGCGTGCTCGCGCAGCAGTTCCCTCCTCACTTGCAGCAGGCCGGAGTTGCAGCGCGGCAATTCTATGCCAGTACGATGATGATGGCTGCGCGCACGACGTTTCTCAAGCCGAGGGCGGCAGCAGGACGATCCGTTGATGCCTGCGTTCCATTCCTCGGCACAGCATCCTGCGCTCGCCGACCTTCAGAGCCAGCTCCTCGACGGCCGAGGCCATCTTCGCGTTCCTTGATGACGTCTACATAGTTGCGGCGCCCGAGCGCGTCCGCACGCTGTACGACGCCCTTGCAGCCGCCCTGTGGCACCATGCGCGGATCCGACTCCAGGGCAAAAACGCGTATCTGGAACTCCGCTGGTGAGGAGCCCGCCGGCATCGCAGACCTCAGCGGCGACGACGCGGCGCCCGTTTGGGTTGGAGACCAATCTCTCCTGCGCTGGAACGCCAAGAGCTTACCGTGCTCGGTTCCCCCCTCGGGCACGACGCCTTTCTCGTGTGGCACCTCGCGCAGAAACGCGAGGACCACGACCGGCTCCTCCAGCACCTTCCCAGCCTCGATGACTTGCAGGCAGATCAGGCAGCCTAGCTTTTGCTCCAGTCCTGCGCCGCACCGCGCGCTAACTACCTGCTGCGCATCTTGCCCCCCCACCTCACAGCCGCGTATGCGGAAGCGCATGATGCAGCAGTCGCCCGCTGCTGGCAATTCTTCTTGAGCACGGGGACGCCCCCCTGCCACCTCACAGCCTGCGCACTGCGCAGCTCGCGCAGCGGTTCGGGGTCTTGGCCTCCGCTCTGCCACCTTCGACCACTTCGCCGCACATTGGGCCTCGTGGTGCGACACCTTGCCCGTCATCCATACCCGGGCCCTTGCTGCGTCTGCCCGACTGCCGGACCCTCGGCTGTAAGACCCCGGACTGGGCAGCCATTTGCACCGGCACCCTCTTCCCCAAGGCGGCGGAAACACCTCCCAGCCCTTCAAAGGATGGCAGCGATTTCCTGCCTGTGCCTGCGACTCGCGCGCCTGCGAGACGCACCTTCCTGACCGTACACCTGCGTCTCGAGCGCTGCTGCTATCGCAGGCCGGGCCCTTTGCCGCCCGTGCCTTGAATGTCCTTCCCACGCGCGACGAGCTCTCCATCCGCAGCGCGCAGTTCCGGGTTCTTCTGTTGCGCCGCCCGCGCAGACGTCCAGCCAGGGGCCGCCGTCTCTGCCGCCGCCCGGCGCAAGCGGCACCAGACATATCCAGAGCTCGAGTGCGCGCGGCGCTGCCGCCTGGTTGTTGTCGGCCTGGAGGTCGGCGGCAGGTTCGGCACCGAAGCTGTGCAACTCCTGCGCCTCCTCGCGCGACACCGGGCCTCCACAGTCCCAGCACAGTTGAGGCCCCGTGCCGGTCTGGGCTCCTGGCAGTCGCATCCCAGCGCGCCTAACTCGCTCCTCGAGTTGCCGCCTGCCGCTGAGCTCGGCGAGGGCCCTGCCGGAGCTACATGAGGTCCTGGCCGACTCGCGGAGTGATGGGTGACGAGCCGTAGGCCGCCAGCAGACTGACGCCGACGGATGTTTGACTTCCTGCGTTGTCGTAAAAAGGCGCGAAAAAAAACACAAGGCGTCTGCCCCGGTTCCCAGTAAGCTGCCGGTGCTGAGCGCGTCGCCGACGGCAGGCCCAAGCCACCTAAAGCGGTCGTCGTGGCCTGCGGCAGAGGAAGCAATGGCGGTTGGGGGCACCGTACGCATCGCACGCGCAGACGCGCAGAGCGCGAGCGACAACGCCATAACACGCAGAGGGTTGTCGTTCGTGCGATCACGACACGCCGTGCACATGCAGAGGGTCATCGTTTTTGTGTTTCGACAACGCCCAAGGACGCAGAGGGTGTCGTTCGTGCGATCACGACACGCCGGGCACATGCACAGGGTCATCGTTTGTGCGTTTCGACATGCCTGACCGTTTCGTCGGTGGCCGCTGGAGCCCTATATGGCATTTTGCCCGATGCTGGGCACAGGCCGTGCTTGCCCGCCAAGGCAACGTCGACGAAGACATCCCACCCCTCAGTGACGACTTTCCCTTCGCGAGCCGCGTGCTGTGATGGGCCACTGAGACCTGTCTGGATGTGGCGAAACAGGCCTCGAACGAAAAATATCGCTTAACTTTTTTTTGCTGATTGTAAACAAGTATACAAGGCCCTTATAACCCTGTAGTTTATATGGGTTTAGGGTTTAGGGTTTGGGGTCCCTTTTTGGGTTCCTTTTTTAACGGCACCTAACATATAGGGTACCCCAAAAGGATTATAATTTTGACAACCTCCCATATGCTCTTTTCAGGTTCATGGCATGTGCATCGTCACCAACTTGCTACAGACGATTTTTGGCAAGCTGGCTCTGCCGCTCATGGGGGCAAATGAACCGAATTTGTTCTTGCCGCGTTTTCCACTTCTCAAAGTATTCGATTGTAGTCGGACTGGTGCACATGAAATGCTGCCGAATCATGGCATCCCCACGCCACATGCAAGTCTTCCAATATTGCTTTCATCCCATTTCGTACTTTTTCATATATCTCTCTCGTTACGTAGCGCTTAGAGGTTTCACGTGAGAAGTGCACTCAGATGTTTGGCCCTCGACCAAAGCGGCAGCGTTTGGAGTTTCAGCCAGGAGATTTGGTTGTGAAGATTTTGGTCAGCACGAGGACGGCAAGCAAGATCATTGGCACAGGTGGTGCTGGGGTCAAGGCACTCAGAGCCCAGAGCGGCGTAACTTTGCATATTTGGGAAAACAAGTTCAGAGGTCTGCAAGTCGTTGTTCTTGGAGGTCCACGGGCGAGTGTGGATCAGGGCGTGACGTTTGTGATAGAGAAGCTAATGGAGGAGGCTCAGGCGGGCTCTCAGGCGGCCCAGTTGCCAGGTGAAGGTGATCTCAGCGATCTCAGTGTGCAGCTGAGCGTTCAGCTTCTGCTGACGCCCAACACAGTGTCCAAGATCATTGGCGCCAAGGGCACAACCATCGCGCAGCTGCGCCAGGAGTACGGGTGCCACCTGGAGGCAGAAAAGGTCCCATACAATGGTGAGCAGGTTCTGAAGGTCACCGGGCAAGGTGACATGGTTCAGCAGCTGGTGCTCAGACTCGCCGAGTTCGTGGAGGGGGCTGGGGATTCACAGCAAGTAGCCAACAACGACTATGGCAGCTATGGCATCGATGGCGGCGGCGACGACTTTGGAACCTGGAGCAAAGGCTCAGGTCCCAAAGGCAAAGGCGGCAAAAGCGTGGTGGCCACAGGCACATTTGCAGCCCCCATGGCGACCCCAGGCAAGGGTCATGGCGGTTATGGGCCCAGTGGACACTTTGGGGAGATGCACAGTCTTCTGCAGGCCGAGCAAGACCCATCGGTGCTGTCCAGTGTCTCCACCATCCAGTTTGCCATCCCTGCTGAGTCGGTGAGCCGTGTATTAGGTAAAGGCGGCATTTTCTCCAAGGAAATTGGCAGGAATACTGGCGTCAAGGTGGTCATTGACCCGCCAGTGCCCGGGGCAGAGACGTGTGTGGTGACGCTCACCGGCCAGGTTGGTGGCGTAAATCGTGCCCACTGTATGGTCGTGTCGCGCCTCCTTTCACAATATTAGGTTGTTTGAGCTGCAACTGCCCTAGAACCTCAGCCAAACGCTCAACTGGAATCGGTACTCGCGTAACAAAATCGGTCATAGCAATCAGCAAGTCTTCTGGGCTTGTTCATGCATGTTCGCTGCTTCTTTGCACAAACGCATTGCGGCCGTGATCAGCCGTGTTCCAGATTGACAGGCATGAACAAAACCATCATGCGAGTCCGAATTTCTTCTGGAAGTTTCCAGCCGTGTAGTCATGTTCCATCATGTTTATCTCACGCAGAACAACGCACAACAAAGCTGCAGGGATGAGCGGCCCATCCTGCTGATCGTAAAGAAACACACATTATGCTGACCACATGCTGCTGTCTCGGCCCGGCATGGGCCGCCCGGAGGGCGCGGCAGAGGTGCAGCCGGTTGTTTTTGTAGCGTCCACTATATCTTGCAAGGCCGACAGCGCCACGGCACTTTTGTAGAATCGCAGTTCATGGGGTCAACAACTCAAGAGGCAGGCGCCGCATGACGCATTTACCTGGTTGAAATAAAGTGCTTTTGGGCCACCAGGTGGGGGGTGCTCATGTGCTCGTACTTGTGCTCTGGATGATTACCAGCTTCATGCTAAGCGAACGTCACAGTGGACTAACAGAAGGACGTGCAGGCGAAGGAGAAACACTGATGACCTTGGTTTGCAAAAGTCTGCTAGTGGTTGCAATTTGCAGCATCTCAGGTTTGCCAGGAGGTATGCAAATATCCAAGCTGAAGCAAGAACACTTTTGGATGCAGCAAGCTTCCGGACCTGTGGGTGAAGCATGTTCGTTGCACCATTAGCTGCTATAGCTTCTCGGCACCATGAGCATGAGCATGGCCAGAGGCATGGCAAGAATGAAGGAACGGTGCCCCACCATGTGGGTAGCTTGCTTTCTTATTCTTGCGCAGCGCAGGAGGAATCTGCTGTTTGGTCATGCCGCCATGCCTGCTCGCTCTTCACGACGAATGTCGACAGACCTGTACAGGAATGTGGAAGGGAAACTCAGGGAGACTGATGAGTTTTTTTGCGCCTGCATCTCAGCAGTCACCAAGCCCAGTCCAGGGACGTATGGGACATGCAGAGTACATGCAGATGCAGCGCCCGGCTGCCGATGTAGACATTGGGAGTCCTTCTTTCCGCGGCCTTGGCCTCTTGAGCCGCGCGCTTTGGATTTCAAAGGCCTGGCCTCTTGTTTCATCTTGTTTCTTCTTTTCCTTGCATATTCTGCACATCCGTTCGCAGGAGGGCCATGCCCTTAAATTTTTCCCTCGCGTTACTGCATAAGTGCAAGCCTCGGTCACAGAAGCTCGCAAACGCGTCTGCGTGCCACATGGTGTTGAGTGTCAAAAGAAGTGCACCTGTGATGGCATGTTCTGCCTTATTGAGGCCTTAAGCTGATACTAGTAGCGGAGTTGTCGGACCGTGAAACTCCAACAATTCCTTTGAAGGAGATGACGAGGATTTGCATTTGCAACAAAAAGAGGAGTGGGACTAGTTGTGTCAGCAAAATGACCTCTCGAGTTCTCGTCCGTTCTGTGGATCCCCAAAGCTTACCTCAGCCGGGTCTTGTCGCGTTGGCATCAGAAGATATCAGAAGCTCCCACCGACAAGCGTTGCACCATCGCCAAAATCGGACTGAGCCAGGAGAGGCACTTCGTCCCGTGAGCCTACAGCTGTGAATTTACACCTGATGCTGACGATGGTTGTGCAGGCTGAGTTGGCATCGGCATGCATCGGCAAACCATGCTGGGCCCGATGCTCGGCCCAAGGATCCTCGGGAGGCTGCAGGGGTGGCTGTTCCTTGGATTTGCTTGCCGTGGATTCCTTGCCAACTTGTGGCGGGCCATTGCCCACGAGCACATGCGTGAGCCGAAAACTCGACAACACACTGGCAAACAAGCCTCCGCTGCAATCTAGAGGGCTTATCAGGATGGAAGCTAACGAGGGTCGGGGCACCACATCCATTGAAAAAGCGCATGGTGCTAGGCTGCCCTGCGCAAGCTGCTTCGTAGACAGCACGCTCCAAAGCGTGAGCCCAGCTTGACGCTTCTGTCCGCAGGTCCAAGTCCGGTTTTTTCCCGAATGCTCCGCACAAGGGTTCCCGTTTTAAAGTTGGGGGTCCGGGGGTTGGGAGGTTACCAAACATCGTTGCGTTGTGTCCGCAAAGAGTCCGCAAAGCGTCCGCAAGCGTCCGCGAAGCGTTCGTGAGTGGCGTAACGCGGCTGTTAAGGGGGAACTGCAGAGGACACGTGTGCCCTCCGTCAAGCTAAGGGGGAACTCCACAGGACGCGCGCCGTGGCGTTCCACGTGGCGTTCCGCGGCGTTCCGAATCCGTCAAGCTAAGGCGGAACTCCACAGGAGGCGCACGCGCGCCGTCGTGGCGTTCCATGTGGCGTTCCGCGGCGTTCCGATTGCGTCAAGCTAAGGGGAAACTCCACACAGCACGCGCGCCGCCGTAGCGTGCCACGTGGCGTTCCGCGGCGTTCCGCGGTCCCGGGGGCGTTCCACGTGGCGTTCCGCGGCATTCCGAATCCGTCAAGCGCAGGGTCCGTGGTGGTGGTTCCAGGTGGTGGTCCGTGGTGGTGGTCCCATGGTGGTGGTCCCGTGGTGGTCCCATGGTGTGGTCCCGTGGTGGTGGTCCCGCGGTGGTGGTCCGTGGTGGTGGTCCGTGGTGGTGGTCCCGTGGTGGTCCCGTGGTGGTGGTCCCGTGGTGGTGGTCCCGTGGTGGTGGTCCTGTGGTGGCGGTCCCATGGTGCGGTCCCGTGGTGGTGGTCCCGTGGTGGTGGTCCCGTGGTGGTGGTCCCGTGGTGGTGGTCCCGTGGTGGTGGTCGTGGCGGTGGTCCCGTAGTGGTGGTCCCGTAGTGGTGGTCCGTGGTGGTGGTCCCGTGGTGGTGGTCCCGTGGCGGTGTGCGTGGTGGTGGTCCCGTGGTGGTGGTCCGTGGCGGTGGTCCATGATGGTGGTCCGTCTGCCCGCCACCGACGTTTCGTTTATATTGAGTTATATTTACGTTTTTGGTGGCTGCTTTCTGCATTCGGGTTCGTGGATCCTATCAGGTTAAAACTTTCATTTTTCTTGTTTTTGTGTCTTTATTTGTCTCCGCTGGTTGTTTGTTTGCTTATTGATTGCTTATTTTGTATGTATCTGTCATTATACATCCGGAGCGCGTCGAGACCGGCGGGGCTTGTTCCTGCGGCTTTGCAAAGTCAAAGTGCGTATAAAGTGCGTGCAAAACGCATCTAGGCCATGGCCGTGCCATGAGAAGTGTGGTCGAGCTCCGAATGGTTGTTTGCATGTGTGCAGTTGCCATTGCTCCGCCACTTATGCTGTGTTCTGTTCGCCAATAGCTACTGCAACAACAGTTCTGACAAGAAAACATACAAAAATGCAAATTAGCCAACGGCACCCGCAGCCCACTCAACTTGCCCAGTAGCCACCCAGCAGGCGCCAAGCCTGCCCCACGTTCACATGCTGTAGCATGCCAGTCAAAGAAATTCGTCAAGCACGTTGAACTCTGAACGCTGCATCTGCAATCATGGCTATGGACACAAGGGATACAGCCATGGTGAATGCCCCAGACATGTCGCGGCAGCGATTTACGGGCAAGGACGGGAATTGACCGAGATGAGAGCCTCCACGGAAAGATGACGTTGAACAAACCTTCCCATTTGAGAGGTCACAAGATTTCATGCAGAGCGAGGGTGGGGAGCCTCGGCAGAGAAGCTGGCGAGAGCCGGGTTGCGGTTGGAAAGGTTTTCCATGGTTTTCCTATGTTTTCTTGCCGTCCCATGTCCTCTCCATGCGGATGCCACTGCTCAGACCGCCCTTTGCAAGTGTGACGAATTGAGAGCCATGCACGATGGACTGAGCCTGAGGATTCGTTGACCTCAATGGTACTGACGTCATGGTTCATGTCAACGACTGCAAGCCAGAAGATGTAGATGCTTGCGTGCAAGGGTTTGCATGTGTCAGTTGCACTCTCATGCTTTTTCGTAGAGGGGTAGAGTTTTGTTGCGCAATACGCCGCCCATTCCATCATTGCACCTGCCTCTTGTTGTCATCATCGCTTCTCATGTGTTGTTCAATTGCTGAGGAGCTTTTCACCGGGGGCCAGCCGAGACCTGGAGATATCGTTTCTTTCGAGGTCGAGCCGCGCAAGGACACAACAGTGACGTAATGTAGCTGCGTAATCGTACGCGGGAGATGCCGTTCAAGCAACAAGGTAACACATTCAATTGCGAAGCGTGACCAGGACAACCCTGAGCACATGCAGGCCAAAAGGGCCTCTCGAGTTCATACTGGAACAGTGCTGGGCACATTTGAGGACAAAAATCGCTTTATTCGGAATCTGACACTGCTAGCTGCATATGCAACTCCCAAACGAGAATTGAGGGCCTAATTCACATCCACCGTTTGCATGTGCCTTAGGTCGTGGGTGGTACTGATGAGCGCTGCTGCAACACAAAGGGCAAGGGTCAAGCTGTCCCAGCACCAGGCGTCTCTCTGCCTCTGAGCCATATTGAGCCCACGAAGCCTTGAGCACGATCACTCGGGATCCGATGCTACTCCAAAGGCTGCCAGTGACTCCTTTGAGTTGAGTTTGTTGAAGGCACCGGCCAGCACCTTGGTGTCATCAAGGCATTCAACACGAAAGGCGCCCGACTCTGCTCTCATGACTCTTCTCTCCATATGTAAGGATGTTACAAGCACCGTGACCAGTCACACACCAGATGTCCCAAACAGCAAACAGCATTCGCATTGGGCATTGATTGGCACTTGACTTGCTTGTCTCTGAGTTCTGTCCTGGGCACACAGTCACAACGAGATGAACTGCTCGTGGCTAACGATGCGACGCCTGTGCTTAAGCGTGTTCACTATCATGACATGCCACGGTTACGTCTGGTAGACTGCAAGACAAGTCTTCGGCTGTCCTGCGCTGAGTGGAAAAAACCACAGCTCTCGACGGCAGGGTTCAAGTTTACTAATGTCGAACCTCCTTTAATTTGCAGTCCCCTGGCAACCTGAATCTCCTGCTTGTCGCCATGATACGCCCAAGCTTTTTCAGGAGTGCAGGGTATAGACTTAATCCCTTCTGAATCCAGCCACAATCCTTTCCATTCTGAATCCCTTTCAATCCCTTGCAGGCCTTGGGTGGGTGCAATGCATGGATGGCATAACTGCCTGGGTCGAGCTTGCCGACTGCATCGGAACCCGCCCTGTCACAGGCAGAGGGCAGGGCTTCTGAGCATTGTTTGAGCTGTGGGCCACTGAGATTTTGATTGCTTGAACTTGGTGAGACCAGAGTTCTCTCAACCGCAATGTTCATGCACATTGAGTTTCCTGGGTGCCAAGAATAGTGGCCATGAGAATGAAAACGCTCGGTTTGATACAGCAACGGTAATCATGGAAATTGCAACATGTTTGGGAACCTGCCCGCAGAGTCAGGCGACCGCGTCCAATTTGACCTGCAGCCCTGCGAAGTGAAGCCAGGGAAGATGCAGGCTTCACTTGCTGGTCGCATGTCATTGGCGCTGCAAACCAACCCGGCAACGGAAGGGCACCGTACTGCAAGCCTGAAGTCCCGACAAACAATGCTGCAACGCTGAAGCCGAAAGCTGCCCCAAAAACCTAAAACACACACGATGATGTGGAATGGGCGCCGTATGCAATGCTGCAAAAACAAACACAATTTCTGTTTGGTGGTGGGCTCGTTTTTGTTCCTCCTCCAGGTCGTGTAGGAATACTTCCCTGCTTCACGCCTGGCTCCTGGTCTGCGTTAGTTTGTGTCAGCTGCCCATATTGGGCTTGGGTACACTCGGGTGGCACATCCTGTATTGACAGGCAGTGGCTGACACCCCAACACCCGGAGACCCCTTTCCCCTGCAGACGTCCCCCTGGTGGTGGTTGTCGGAGAAAAACACCTTCGAGATATTGGGGAAGCCAAAATGACAGATCGTCTTGCGTCGTGTATGTGACCTCACCCTCGACCCCGCGACCTGATGATCCATGGGCTCTGTATGGATTGCCAGTGCGACAGCCAAGTGGAAAGTTTACCTTCTTGTTGCCGTATGGCAAAACCACTGCAGGGAAACATTGAAGGAAATCGACGTGGAGTGTTTATTGTTATCCCTCCCCCCCCCCCCTCGAATTCCTTCCTGGCGAGCATTGGGTTGAAACATGTTGAAACCATAGATTACGAGTTGCACCGCGCACCGCAACCCGCAACTACGGGCACATGTTTGTGTAGAGGGTGGAAACCAAAATTGCATCTCGCCCAGAAGGCATGAAGTACGCCCCCTGCCCAACCCTCCAACCGTGTTCTATCTATGGGGTCGGGAAGCCGTGCAGATTTCGAAGCATGCGCCCTCTGTCTACGCGGTCGGGAAACCACCCAGATTTCGAAAGCAAAATCCGAAATCAAATTCTATCCACTCAAGGATGCCCATAATTTCGTAAGGAACTCGCTGCTTTTGGTAACCATGCTGGGAAGGGATCTCGACTTCGTTAACTTCCAGAGTCCTCTGCGTTCATTGGGATTTCAGGTTCTTCCGGCAAAAACGGTCAACTTCCCCATCTTGCGTCGGGCCAAAAGTAAGCCGAATTCCATGCAACATCATTCAAAGCTTATCGCGGTTCAGCTCGGTTGTCTCTATGGTTTGTAGGTGTCCTTGCAACACATGTTGCAACCTCCCTGAGCTCTCTGGCTCTTCTGTGCTGGGTGGTGTTTGCTGTTGGCGTGCCCGTGCCCGGCTCCTGAGGTCGGATCATGGAAATGTCAGGCGAAGCCGAAAAACGGGTGGAGGGAGGGGGTCGGCATTTTGGGAGAAAAGAGGAGGACCGAGAAGCAAGGCCGAGAGAGCCACGCCGAGAAGGGCGCTTGCAGCAAAAAGGGGAAAACGACTGTGCAGGCATGGGGATGGCGCAAGGATGCCCCCCCCCCCAGCTATGCCCCCCTCGTCCAGCCAACGCAACCAGAGCGAGGGGCAATGCGCGGCAACAAGGGGACCTTCCCTTGGAGCCACATTCATTGTCTTCGGCCGCCTCGGCAAAAGCGACAAAAAAGTAAACTGTCGAAGCCTAAGCAGTGGAATCGCAAGCTGCAGGCAGTCAACGTTACTGGCGGCACAGCCCCAATGGACCTGAAAGATGCCGTTCTGGGTGACTTGGAGAGCAGGAGGTTTGTGAGCATTTTCAGCCTCACAGCCGCTTCTGCTCAGAACTGCCGATGGGTTGAGTTTTGTCTTTAACAGCAATTGCTGGAGTAAGTCTCAGGCAGCTTGCTTGGCTGTCAGCGCAAAACGAGGTAAAGACATGGCCAAGGCAAAGGCAGCTGCGCATCTCTTCGGCACAAGACTTGCGTGCAATGCTCTCTCTTTGACGGCTTGGGATCAAATTTTCGTGATTGCTTTAGGCCAGCCCCTTTGCTCCAGCTGAAGCGCAATGCAAATGGCCACTTGATTGGCTGTGTTACTTGGCATGAATTGTCAGTGCTGGCGCTGCCATGATATCCCGAAAGCCCAAAGATAGAGCAACGATGCGCATGCACCCCTGGCAGCTGCATCATAATATCAGCCGTGATTGAACGACTCTAAGGAGCGGACTTGTAGATCAGTCTTTTTTTGTGATATTTGGATTTTGTGTGATTTGCAAAGATGGGATCCTACAAATGTAAAGTACCCGTACAAGGTACCTGCATGTGTGGATGCGCCTGAAAACGCCTGAAAACGGTTCGTTGAGAATGTCGTGGTGTCCAGCTGGGAAACTAAACCCAAAATTTCCCAAAATGTCTCAAGCCATTTTGGCCGAGTGTCTGCTCAAACCTCCGTGAGATTCCGTGAGCTTTGACTTTCGGTGGAGTTTGCGGATCTGAACAGCCGCCGTAGCGTGTTCGGCTCGGCAGCTCCTTTCTGAGCATCTACAAATAGTGTTTCTCACGGCTCATCTGCGTGCACAGCTTCCTTTCCGAGCGATTGCACTTGATTCAAACATGCCGGACAACCAAAGGGCAACTGGCGGGTTGGTGATTTTTGGGGAAACGAAGGTCTGCTGATGCTCGTGATGCGCGGGTCCGTGTGGTAAAGAATGGAGGGGGGAAAGGGGCGTGCAATAACCGGGCATAACCGGGCGTCGGGTGACGTCTCTGTGCGCTTTGCAGCCTGCCAACCAGGGCGCTACCGTTTTGGAGCTCTTCCTCGCCTCTCCTTGAACCATGAACGCCCCGTTCGCTTACTTGCAGTCCCTTTAGGGGCAGAACTGTCGTCCCCCTTATCTGGGTTCTCCTAGGCCATGAGCTAACATAGGTTGACATACGCGCGCAAGTTTTACATGTCCGACTTCTGGATTCGGTACACCTAACAGGGTGATTGGGGCTTCATCCGGCATTCGCTTATTGCCTTGTCGGCGAATTAGTTCAGCGTGAGTCTGCTGGTGAATACCTGAGGTCTGCGCGTTATGCCAGCAAAGCTGTGCGTCCGAAATCCCAGTCGTGACCGCGCCTCCCATCACAGCACAGCCCGGGCCTGGGCCGCTTGCAGGCAGCGTGCAAGCTGCGCCGATCGGGCTGATGAAACGGCCGATAACCGGAAGTAACAGGTCTGGCCCCTACAGCGGTGGTATGGGGAGCATGGGCAGGCTGTACTAGTGGCATTTGTTGGCCCTCTTGGCACCTGATGCCCCTACTATCATGGAAAGTCTCGTTGGTATTGCCCAAGCTTGCCGCCACGCTGCAGTTGCACTTGCAGAGCATGTGCGCAACTGCCCAAGACCGCTGCGCTTCTTTCGAGACCTTGGCGGGAATAAAAGCTGGCTGCTGTGATTGCTGTGGGGAGCATGTTTGCTAAGGTAGAATCATCGAATACTGCCCTTGTTCTGACCTTGAGTGGTTGGGGGTCGTTGGAGGACATGCCAAGAGAAGACATGATGTATAGAAGGAGAAGAATATTTCAAGCCCAGGTCATGGCAAATGCCGCCAGAAACACCTGGCCATGGTCCATGACGAGGAACTTTCACTAAAGATCTTGATGTGGGTGAAAGAATTTCTCCGTAGAGTTGGAGATCCAGAGACATGGCAACTTTGCGGACGGCGAAAAGATTGCAAGACAACTAGCTGCAGCTAGCTTAGCTACTGAAATAGCTCGTGAGATACATGGTCTTTATGGGGGTTTCTGAACAATAATCATGACAAGGCCACGGTACAATATAGGGTTTGTCTATTATTTAGTTTTCTTTGAAGGGGATACTATGAGCCCGTGTCGTTAGGAGAACGAGCTTTTTGGAATACGAGTCGAGAGAATCGCCGTTTAGCAATCAAGCTCTCGAATAGTTGCTGTGACCACGCGCCTTACATGTAATGACAATCAAGGAATTAGTGGGCACGGGGGGGCCCTCAAATGGTCGATTCCTCCAATCTTGAAGGCTAAATCCCTCCCCCGACGGATGGCGGCAAGTTCAATTCTTCATGGTTTCGTGGCCACCAGGCTGGTGCTTCGAAGAGTGAGCGTGGAGAGCGCCGTCGATTCTGCCTGGAGGTTGCTGGCAGCGTGTAAGTGTGCATATTTGCAGAGCATTTTCCGACACAAACGAGCAGAGAATTGAAGAGCACGATGACATTGTCCTGACTGAAGATGTAATCCGGACAGTATGTGAGCGTAGAGATTCGCAAGATGGCAGCGTCAAAAGTGAGAGTGTGGAGCACCCGTTGATTTTTAGAAGGTTTGCAAGAGCTGAAGAGCAGGCCGGCATCGTCGTGAGTGAGCGTGAAGAACATTCAATGATCCCTTGCATGTGCCAGTCATGTGAGCGTAGAGATTTGAAGAGCTATGTGGCATTGTCGAGAGTCAAGAGTGAGCGTGAAGAATTTGTGGTGATCGTTGACGGTGTGAAGAGCAGGTTTGAAGAGCACGCCAGTTTCCACGTACCCAGGTGGTGATTTGCAAGCAGGATTCGCAGAACAGCTTTGCAAGATGCCTTTCTGAGTGTAGGAGCATCAAGCATGACTTGAAGAGCAGGTCCATACCGTCAGACGTGAGTCTGCAAAGCAGGTGTTGAGCATCGAATCTGTGCCACCAAGTGTAAGAGTGCAGAGCATGATCTGAAGAACATTCCCACACTGTCGAGCATGAGTGCACAGAGCAAGAGTTGATCTCATATGATGTGGCAAAGAAGCTTTCGACTTGAACATTTGGCGCGCACAAGTCACGCTTGAAATTTATTGCTTATATAAAATTTCCTTCGTTATCTTCTTTGACATCTTTGTGGAGGATCTCCTGGTGTCTTGCTTTAAGTATAGCATCTTCGGATACAGCACTAATTACCAGTTGATGGGGGTCACTAGAGCGCCAAGTTTGCCATTTCTTTTCAGTAGCCGCTGCATGCCATAGATGCTGAAGGCATCTTGCCAGAAAAAGTTGCGCGTGTCTCGCTACCGATGGCACACGGACTTCTTTATTCATGCATGATGGAAACTGTCTCGGCGCAGTGTCACCGCTTGCGCACTGCGCAATAGTTTCGGAACGCCCTTCAACCTGCAAGCCCAACGGTTTTGGGATTTAGGGTCTAGGGCATAAGCCCAAGAACCTGCAACCCAAAACCCCTTAAACCCATGAACCCATCAGCCCCAAGCCTTAAGCCCTCCCAACGTACAGGCCGCAAACCCTACTGCATGCCCTAAATCTCCAGCCTTAAACCCCTAGACCCTAAACCCTAAATGCTGTTGTTGTTTTTTTTCCCACCTGAATGTATGGCTTGGTTGCTGTGTTGGCCAGCCCAAGATAAAGTAGCCCTGCATGTTGGTTGCACTTGCAGTACCTCCTGGAAGGCGCGTTGAGCGCGTCCAGTGACCTCAAGCAGACAGTTTTTGAAAGTTTATACATGGCTGGTGAGGGGAGCCTATACAGCACAACAAAAGCAAGGCGCAGCAGACCCTGTACAGGACAGAGGCCGACAACATGCTTGGATGCTTTGGGAGACTGGCATGGCAGATGCTATGTTGCTGGTTGCGCGCGTGCGTGTGTGGGTGCATGTGCTTGTGCGTGTATGGGTGTGTGTGTGTGTGTTCTTTGTTGGTCGGTTGGTCGGTCGGTCGGTTGGTTGGTTGGTTGTTTGGGTTGGGCTGGTCGATAGCCGGAAGTTGGTGACTAGGGATGCGATTCGTTAACCACCGATTATCCCACTAATCCGGCACGAAAGGCAGCTCAGCTGGCCCTGTGTGCGTAACCACTCGTACAACTGGACTGTGGGAGATTGGTGGGGCCGGGCCTCGCGGTTGACCGTGTTGGAGTGCCTTCCAGCGACCTGGGGACGGTTAGTGTGGACCTCTTTCTTGGCAGCGCCCTTTGGGGAAGGAGCCCATGGCAAGCCTTCTTTGGTGAGCCCTCTGGGATGACTTCCATGGCCCGTCCAGATCGAGAGCGCCCGAACGGGCCGGACACACGACCCAGAACCAGCGAGGTTGTGCGAGGCTTCATGGTGAGTGAGCTTGGTCCGCCCTTCGACGTATCCTGGTCCTGCTGCGGCAGTCACCATGGGCTCGGTGGTTTTCTGGTGCGGTGTGGTCTAGTGCGGTGTGGTCTGGTGTGGTGTTGTGGGCATATGTGTGGTGGGCGTTTGTGTGGGTGGGGGTTGTGTGGTGGGCTTGCGTGTGGTGAGATGTGGCGCGTTGTCGCATGCGCTGTGGTGCAAGTGTGGTGTATGCGCGGTGTGGTGTATGCGCGTTGTGGTGTATGTGCGTTGTGTGCGTGGCATGGTGCAGTGGTGCATGCGCGGTGTACGTATGGTGTTGGTTCGGTGTTGGGCGAATGTGTAGTGTATGCGTGGCGTGGTGCAAGTGCGGTGTGATGTGATGCATCTGCGTGCGTGGGCATGGTGTCTGCAGGGTGTGATGCATACAGTATATGCGTGGTGCATATATTGAACGCGTGCTTTGCTGCATGCGTGGTGTGGAGCTTTGCGCTCTCGAGCGTGCACGCGTGATTGTCATACACTTGTCCACGCATGAAACCCATCTAGCAACGGTGCAAAACCATTCAGACGCATAAAATCACAAAATACAACCGCAAACACAGTCTTTGCGACCTTGTTGCCTTCTCAAGCGTGCATGACGACTGCGATATTATTTTGTCCATACATGAAGCGCCCATTTAGCAACGATGCAAAGCCATGTAGACGCAAAAGCTCACAAATACAACTCAGCAAAACAAAGTATGTATACGATCCTATGTCTCGAACGTGCACGCATGGTTATCATATACTTGTCCCCGCATGAAAACCCATTTAGCAACGGTGCAAAACCAGTCAGACGCATAAAGTCACAAAATACAACCGCAAAAAGTATTTGTTGCGACCTTCTCAAGCGTGCATGCATGACGACTGCGATATAATTGTCCATACATGAAGCCCATCTAGCAACGATGCAAAGCCATGTTGACGCAAGAACCCACATACAACACAGCAAAACAAAGTATGTATACGATCCTCTTTCTCGAACGTGCACGCGTGATTACCACATATCTGTTCGTGCATGAAACCCATCTAGCAACGATGCAAAACCGCGTCTTCGGCGCGTTAAATCACAAAAATAAAATGCAACGTATTCACGATCCTCTTCCTTTCTCGGACGTGCACGCATGATTACCTTATATATCTCTTTGTGCACGAAACCAATCTAGCAACGATGCACCACTTAGACGCAGAAAATCACAAATAGAACAGCAAAACAAAGAGATCGCCTTTCTCGAGCGAGCACGCATGATTACCATATATCTGTCCACACACACGTAGATGCATCGAATCAGCAGCAAAAGTATTCACGGTCCACTTCCCTCCTCAAGCGTGCATGCATGACTAACATATACCTGTCCATATGAAACCCATCTAGCCACGATGCCAAAAGCGTTTTCGATATTCATATCAAATTTGTTGTTGTTTATATGCGTTGTGTGATGAAATAAAGGCGAGCTGCGGTGAACGAGCGGTGTGGTATGTGCGTGGTGCGGTGAAGGCGTGGCGGTGTGGTGTTTTGTGCTGTGCAGGGTATGCACGTGCAAGCAAGGGGTGCTTGAATGCTTCGTGGGGTGGACGTGTTGTTGCAATCAATGTACGCGTGGTGCACTGTATGCTTGGTGCGGGAAAATGTACGTGTGCAAGCGTGTGCGGTGTAAGCGCGGGTTCGGGGCTTGGTGGTGCATTTTACAGGGTTTTGTGGTGTATGCAAGCAAGGTGTGGTGCATGGTCTACGCATCGTGTATGTGTATGTGTGTGGTGCTTGTTGCATGCGCGGGGCGTGTGTGCTGAGCGTGGTGTCGGTGATTTCATTGTGAACTGTACGCGTGGTGTATTGTGCAGTGCACGTGCGGCGCGGTGCATGGAACACAGTGGTGGAGGTTGTGGGCCATATGTGTGGTTGGTCTTGTTGGTGTGTGCGCGTGTGTTGGTCTGTGTTTCTGTGTGTGGTGTATGTGTAGTGTGACGTGTTGCGTGATGTGGTGCGGTGACTGCGTTGTGAGCTGCACGCGTGGTATGTTGTATGCGTGGTGCTTGCCCGGTGCGGTGTATGTGCCGCGTGGGCCTGGTGAGGTGCGTGCGAAACAGAGCGTTTGTTTGCGGTTGTTTGTTGGGGCTCACTCATCATTGGGTTTAGGGTTTATTTAGGGGTTTAGGGTTTAGTAGGGTTTTTAGGGTTTAGTTTAGTTTAGGGTTTAGGGTTTATTTAGGGTTTAGGGGTTTCAGGGTTTAGGGTTTTTTAGGGTTTAGGGTTGGGTTTAGGGTTTTTAGGGTTAGGGTTTTTAGGGTTTTTAGGGTTTTAGGGTTTTTAGGGTTTTAGGGTTTAGGGTTTTAGGGTTTTAGGGTTCAGTAAATTAGGTGATGCCCGGCGTCAGACCTGGATGCAAAAGGGTTTTAGGGTTTTAGGGTTTATTTAGGGTTTAGGGTTTTTAGGGTTTAGGGTTTTTAGGGTTTAGGGTTTAGGGTTTTTAGGGTTTAGGGTTTTTAGGGTTTATTTAGGGTTTAGGGTTTTTTAGGGTTTAGGGTTTTTTAGGGTTTAGGGTTTTTTAGGGTTTAGGGTTTTTTAGGGTTTAGGGTTTTTTAAGGTAGTTGTTTTAGGGTTTAAGGGTTTTTTAGGTTTAGGGTTTAGGGTTTTAGGGTTTAGGGTTTTTAGGGTGGGGGTTTTTAGGGTTTAGGGTTTTTTAGGTTTTAGGTTTTTATTTAGGGGTTTAGGGTTTAGGGTTGGGGGTTAGTTTAGGGTTTAAGGTTTAGGGTTTAGGGTTTAGGGTTTAGGGTTTAGGGTTTAGGGTTAGGGTTTAGGGTTTATTTAGGGTTTTTGGGTTTTATTTAGGGTTTAGGGTTTTAAGGTTTAGGGTTTAGGGTTTTAGGGTTTTAGGGTTTAGGGTTTAGGGTTTTAGGGTTTGGGTTAGGGTTTAGGTTTAAGGGTTTAGGGTTTTTAGGGTTTAGGGTTTAGGGTTTTAGGGTTTAGGTTTAGGTTTAGGGTTTAGGGTTAGGGTTTAGGGTTTAGGGTTTTAGGGTTTAGGGTTTAGGGTTTAGGGTTAGGGTTTAGGGTTTAGGGTTTAGGGTTTAGGGTTTAGGGTTTAGGGTTTAGGGTTTAGGGTTTAGGGTTTAGGGTTTAGGGTTTAGGGTTTAGGGTTTCCTAAGGTTCCGCGCACACCACCACGCGGGACGTGTGTTGTGGTGTGCGCCCAGGTTCAACGCACTCTCCCAACCCACCCACCCACATCTCAACCTTGGGCGGGTTTAGGGTTTTATAATATCGTGTGTAAGTACAGTAGTGGGAGGGGGCGCTACGGGCCGCCTTTGACCAAATCCTGGGGTACCCCCCGCGAAGGCCTCTCTGTCCCCCCAAGATCCATAGGTTTGTTTGGCGGGTTTAGGTCTTTTTTTCGCCCGGTGTTTCCAAATTATGATGCTGAAACCGGGCTT